CGCCGTAAGATATGTCCAGTCTTACCCCTATTTTTTCATGAATGACTACCACTGCTTTATTTCCCCATGTTTTTCAATCATCACTAAAAAAACAGACTGTTTCCCCGCCCTCCGCCTGCGTGGTTGCCGTAGCCGTGTCCATGAAGGCCACGTCCGTGAGGGATCGGATCAGGGAGGAGGCAAGCCTGAAGCCAAATATATGAGAAAAATCCAGGGATATTTGGCAAGCATACTGCAAATCAAACCATACTATTATAATTATATGTGGTGTGTATATATACGTGTATGTGTGTATTCTGTGTATTATGTAACATGTACATATATATATATATATATATTATGTATTATTATACCTTATGTGTATATATATATATATATGCCCCCATATGAGATCTCCCCCTTCCCTAACCCATGGGGGGTAGAGTGACGGAGGACGGGACCATAGTATATAAACCAACATGTATATATATATATATTTAGATATATTTAGATATATATATATATACCAATATACAAATATATATATATATACTAATATTATATATATATATGTGTGTGTGCTGCATATGTATATTCATATGTGTAATTATGTGTATATATCCATCGGCAATATCCATTATCCTTTTTAAATTTGTGATTCAGATAAACATATGTGTAATCAGAAACATGACACACACACACACACAAATGCACATAGAAACAACGAACAAGACCGAACGTTGACAATACATGACAATACTGCAATCATCATCACCAGTTCGTTGAAACTTCAAACAACAATATAAAGTTTGATCCACAACATGTCAATTGAGTCCATCCCTGGGATTGCAAGCTTAGATCGACATGAAGAAACCTTCAGTCTACTTCATGATATCTTTCTGAAAGAACCTCACAATTGGAACATCGAAACATACTTGCCCATTGGGTCCAGTAAATACATGTAAATACGCCTTGTCTATGGATACCTGTAGGTGCATGTTGCAGGGATATTCTCTATGTATTCTCACGTGGATGGTCATCCGTCATACAATAGCAGATGGTTTGCGACCATGGCAAAACTGTCCATTCCGCCAACTAGGGGCATTTGCTTCGAACTGACAAGTAGAATGGAAAACGGGAAAACCTATAGCTAGCCAATATTAGTCACTCATCTATCTCACTTATTTGCTCATGGTTCTTGTCAAATTGAATCAATCTCAAAACTCGAGTAGGTCCAAGCCAGGCCCCGGTTGCGGGGTAAGCCCTAGCCATCTCCGGCAGTTTCCTCCAGCCCTTCCCGCCTCTTCTCTGGTTGCAGGATGGGTTCAGGGCAGCGCTCAGGCATCAAGCGAAGCCTTAGGTGACCGGGCCTTCATGAAGAATATGAAGGCCAGGTGGCGTCATCATCCCAGCTAGGCTGGAAAATAGATGAACAAAATCAGGACTTGCCATCTGCAATCTGCATCAATCTCCTCTGGGACACTGGATACAATGGGCGTGGAACCCAAAAAAGTGTAATTGAAGATGGATTGATCCATATGGCGCCATTGTGTGTATGTCACGCCCCGAGATTCTGAGACTTTCAGCCCAGCTGTCAGCCAACATAGTTCCTGAATTGTCCAAATTCCTGCATATGGTGAACCAGGTTTGTCGAACATAACGTGAGAATATTAATATATATATATATATACATATATACGTATATATATAATATATATATATAAAATGTATGTATCAATGCACATCAAAACTATGAACCCATATGAACCCAACTTTGTCCACAGCAATTCCTGACTTTTTGTCAGGGCTCACCATGCCCGCTAGTAGCACACAGTAACACCTTCAGATCTGAAAACCCACCAACTTTGAAACACTTGACACCATGAGTCTTGAATCAAAGTGAAAGAGAACTGTTGATTTTGAAACAGCTTTCATGTGAAAATTATATAAAATTATGAGATAATCCCCCCTTACACACCTTTGCACCATCTGCGAGATCCCGGACACATCGATCACAGAAGCACTGGGAAAGGAAGCAGCAACTAGCGGCCTGAATTTGTACAACGAGGTTGGGGTGTGGACCAGAAATTTGCAACCAATGATGCTTCAGCCGCCAACAACCGAAAGTTTCAGCAACAAATAATCAGGGACACAGCCAAGACAAATGGAAACAACTGGTGGAACTAGTTAAACAATGTTAAACAATACTACTTGGGCATGGATGAAAATCAATTATTTCTTCCATCCCAAACAATCTGCAGAGGTCTAGGTATCTCAATCCATGGTGCAACATGGTGCAACCCATCTCACCCGTCTCGCCTCATTGCCTTGGAACATTCCAGTTGCGCATCTGCACCCACGAATTGCCAGCAAAGAGGCCGAAGAGACCTCTCTGGGCGAAGAAGCGAAGAAACTTTGAGGGACTGATTTCCTGATGCTTGCGGAAGGACTTTCAATGACAGAAATATATAGAAACCACAATTGATATATTTACACAACCCCCCCCCAAAAAAAAGACTAATTGTGCACCTGTCAAAAGAATCTTGGATTTTGTTCAGCTGTGCAGAGTGGATCGTAGTGCAAACTGCACAAAAATCCTAATGAAGTACTGTGGCTGAATTCCTCGGCCACCTAGCTGGCGATAATTTCGCGGGTTGTTTGGAGATTGGAAGGCACATTTAAGGTTCATCTCCTCATTTTTGTGGGTTCAATCCACATGTCTATACTTTTTTGGTGCCTATTGCTGTGGTTCAAATCTCATTTGACCAAGATTTGTCATGCTTAAATTGGTGACATCACTCTTTTTGATGGTGCCATGGAATGTTAAATCCCTAGAAGGCCCTAGAATGTTTCACCATCCATTTCTCCGTCAAAACTCCAAACCAAAAAACATCTGCCCTGCCAGGCCCCACTTTCTGCGGCTCCACGCTCCATCAGCGTCGAGACAGTGAGCCCGAGGCCAGGTGGGGGCCATGATGGCAAGCCCGAGGCCTGAAGGGTATGACTGGGTGCGCCGGCATTTGGACCAGCTGGGTCTACCGCACACGCATATGCAATGTAATGCAATGTCATGTCATGTCATGTATGCATGCATGTGTAATAAAGATGCATATTATATATATGTATATGTATATATATATATACACCAACGTGAGTATCTTTTTATATGTGGCATCTGCTCCAAAGATTGGCATACTTAACAGTAATTATATGCATATGATCAAAGAAGGAAACCTCAAAGCATGGATTGCTGCGTGATTGTGTAAAGCTTTTCTCTCCAAATGGAAAGCAAGTTCGGATCCAGCAAATTCCAAACATACAGGACCATATTCATCTAGAGACAAAAACACACACACACACACGCGCGCACAGAAATTATGCAAATATATATATATATACATACCCCAATACAAAAAAAAAAAAATAATACAAAATTAACAATGTATAAAACATTGTTTATTCCATACATAATATGCATATATATATATAGCATAAAGGTACATATATATATATATTAAATATATTATATATATATACAATAGCCAATAGCAAGAAAACTTACCCCCCACATTTTCTTCCGGTATATCCAGTTCTTGTCCAACAGCTTCTCATGGTTACACCGGGGTCCCGAACGGAACTGGCCAGGAGACGATCGCGGCTCTTGGACCAGGTCTCGAGGAAGGAGGTCATCAGCTGACCTTGCCATTGGGGATTCCGAAGCACAAGGAGCATCATGGGATGGTCATCCAATGTCATGCAGCAAAAAATGAGAGAACTTGGAAAAATCCTAGGAAAATATAGAGATGAAACATGATTAATCGAAGTTGTTCTACCTTTTTGATCCTTTTTGGGGTTTGCTAGATGTATGGGAGGATGGGAAGGTTGCGTGAGGCTATGAAGGTGGATGGTGCGGTAAAAATTCAGCTGAATCTATGAGATGATGGGATGAGGGCGTGGCTGCGGGTCGTATGATGAACAACATCCACCTGGAAAAAAATATCAACCGCTGCCCGTGAAATGATGATTCATGGGATGATTCAGGGCAAAAAGGCCGGAATCGGTTCCAAAGGTCTTCAACGTCAAGCTGGAAACAAACGTGTCTCTTCTTAAAAAATATTTTGAATATATCACAGTATCTCTAACATAATCGAACCAATCTGAATCCAGTGCATCAATTCCACCACCGCCATCATTATCACTACTATTCAAATTCATCCGCATCTTCTCGCCCAAGGCCGAGACGATTGCTCACATTGCCACCTTCCTGAGCTGACATGTCGATGTAACCTCTTCAGAAAGCTCCCAAGTACTTACCAAGCAGTCATCCCATGATGACTATCCATGACTTTTACGACATCTCCTGCCGTCTTTCGCTTCCCCCTACTACCCTAGCTCATCACTGGTGACTGCTTGGACCAGTGAAGCCGAGGGGCTGGAAACTGCGTGAGGAGCACCGGCCTTGATCCGCACGGGTCAAAACATCATCCCAGCCCCTGTAGTACCAACATATGGGGCCCATCGATTGGATTACTAGACCAGGGATTCTGGGAAGTTTTGAGGACATATTCTCTCCATCTCCAGTGTTTAGATGGGAGCATTGAGGGGGAGAATGTTATCCCTCAAACATCCTTCTGAAAAAATGCTCAAGTGCGAGCTATGGGACGAAGTGCAAAGCTGAATGTAGGTCAAGGTTACGCCACTGAAACTTGAACACCCAAACGCAGCATAACGACCTGATCCTTCAGGCAGATGTTCCGCCCTATAACCCGCCAGTGTTGGGATTATTTGGGGAAACATGTTTCTGTCCAAAGCCATAGTTGCAGTTGAGCCTGCATCTTGGGAAGGCTCCATGTTGGTCGTTTGAAATCGCTTGAAACTAGCCGGGTGTTCTGGGGCTTGAGACCGCTTGAGTTTGTCCAAAAATGGTGCCCATCAGCCAAAGTTGGCTTATTTGGTGCAGAAAAAATGATGCTGACCCATTGAAATTTGGGGGGTGCGGCCCATATTCATCCAAGACCATCTCATCCACTTTCCAAGTCATTGCAGATCCCCTCTGAGCTCTGGTGCAGCTGGGCAATAGCAGCCGCCTACGCGTAAAAAAGCTGTTGACGTACTCCCTAAGATCCCTAAGTTGTTAGTCAACTGGATCATGGCAATGGTTCATATAGAAGTTGCTTGGAGGAAGAGGGTCAGGAAATATGGGGTCCTTGGATGTCCTTGGTCAACCAGCTTTGCCGAAAGGGTGGAACATCAAGATTTTGTACCCCAAGACCTTACCAACCACTTCAGCGGGTGCAAGAAAAAAAAATGCCTTAGAATGACTGGTTGATAGGGGCCCCATGTCTTGGCAGAATCTTCCAAGTGGCCATAATTTCATAAGGCCCAGGTAGATTCAACACAGTGCGACCGTGCAACCCTGCTGCAACTGGGAAAGCAAGTTCTAAGTACTTCCCGCTACCCTCTGGTAATGAAACACGGCACATTAAAATGTAGATGATGTACTCATTTATATACCCATTCAAATTCAGCATGTGCCACTGATCTATAAATCTATAGGTCCTCAAATTGTGGTGGTTTCAAGCAAGTATGCTGTGTCTCTCTCTCTCTCTCTCTCCTTGATCTGGCTGTTTCAGGCAATCAATAGAGCCCAAAATTCCAGTACCCTCCGGTCATCAAACATGGATAGCTGGGACATCCCTGAATTTGATGAACATTTCTCCAGCAAACCATGTTTGATGACTCTAGAGGTGACCACATTAATTGCTGTATGGCGGTGCCCCCTAGTTCTCTCTCCATCGCCTTCTCAATGGTGCCCCCTGGTTATGTGTGTTTGTTTAGTAGCCATCTATATAACTATAGTTATGGTTATGATATGCATAATCCTGCCCCGCTAATATGAACCCACCCTCTCCTGGTAGTGTCAGAGTTAAGGGGGAAGGAATCAAGCCTACAATTCCAGGAAATGATGTAGGTATACGTGGACTACATTGAACTACAGTACGAGACATATATATATATATATACATTTTCTATTCTTATTTTTCTTGTTACTATTGTCCTTATTGTCATTATTGTCATTATTGTTATTATTGTTATCATATTTATGTCTTTTACCGTACTATATATATATATCCCAATTGATATTTCGAATTCATCACCATAAAGCCTTAGTTCTGCTAAGAACCCCTCCCCAAACGTTCCCCAAAGACGTTCCCCAAAAACGTTCTCGCACCGGATCGGCCAACTCAATGGCGCTCAAGGCGTCCGCCAAACGTTGGCTCGTGGCGTCTCGGAGGTCGGATGCCAGCGGAGTGGACGTGACGCCCCCGTTATAAGTTGGTTATATAAGCCCCAGTAACTATAGTTATAAGATGTTATAAGTACCATAAACCATAGTGAAATTGGAGTTATGTGCACCAACTTAGCTATCGAACGGGGGCCTCACATTGTATATAATTAAATAAGTTATATAAGTATCGTAATTATATAGTAACTATTGTTACTATTATATTTGATATTGGGGCCTAGGGTTATATTAGTTATAATTACTATGTTACTATGATGAGTTACTACTAATATCTATTAAGGAAGTGCCATTCAGAGCCCTGCAGAGCAATACTGGTTGGTGGTTTTACCCATCTTGAAAAATAAAAAAAGTCAATATCTATTAATCCATATTAAAGACTCTGATATGAAGTTAGTTATGGAATCCATAGTCTTTAAAATGGATTCATAGATATTAAATGATATTAATGGCCTATATATATATTATGGAATGTTATATATCAGCTATATTGTGGAGTTAATACGAATCAGAACACTATCTGAACAACTACCTTAAGAATCTGAACCAACTATATTATGAAACATTCCAAATAAGAATCAGACATATTCAATCATATTCGTATTCAGACCGATGATCAAAACACATCAAAAACCTACTGTGGATGGTTGAGTGAAATCCTGCACCACCAAAAGGATGGTTGAAACCCTATAAAAAATAATGGGATGTTTACCATCTAATAATGGAATAAACATGGATAAACCATGATAAACCATCTATCAACTGGTGCAGGATTTCGCTGGCCCATCCACAGCGCTTCGCGGCCGAGGTGCTGGACACGGGCCATGCATCCACCGTGACGTCCACGGTGGCGCGAAGGGAGCCGCCAAAGGTGGTGTAAACGTCCACGAAGAAAGTGATGTCCCCTGCCAGCGCCAGGGGGCAGAAAATGGGAGAAAACCTTAGTTGCTGTTGATGATTTGATGATATTTGATGGTTGTTCAGTTGCAGTTGTTTTCCGGCCACAACTGTGTCAATTTGAGGTACGGCGTTGTGATGTTGTGGCCGGGGAGTATCCGGGATCTTTCTCTTAATGACATCCTCTCTTTTTCATGAAACTATCATGGGTACCCTCTGGTAATTTAACATAGTTTTTGAAAATTTCCATTTATAGTTGACGTACCCATTAAAAATGGCGATTTTCCATAGTTATGTTAGTTTACCAGAGGGTAATCCACAGTTATGTTTACTGCACTGTCCAAGTGAGGGACCCAAAGATCACTGCCATGCTGTGCCAGTCCTGTCACTAGACCCGTTCAATCAAAGTTTAAATTGCGCAGTTACAATTGCAATTTGGAGAAACTCAAAAGTGCAGTTTCAAGATGTTTCAAATCAAAATTGAGACCCCATGTGGTGGTTTATTCAACTCGTGTTTGTTCCCAATTTTGACCCATAACATAGACCTATGTATCTCAATTTGCAAAGGGTGTTCTAAATACCCCCAGTATATAATCAAACGTTGGGAAATCAACGTTAAATCAATGGAGGATATACCGGCAAACCGGCAAACCATGTTAATGACAGACTTTCCTGATATAATATAAATAGATGGTCTTCCCGCAAAAATGTTCATTTTCATAGTGGTCAATCTTTGACAATGATAGTCGACAAAAAATAATATGTTGTTGGTTGTGTGTATTTCCCATCTATAGCAAAATTTATTAAAGGATTCAACATGATTGACCCATCCAAGGTTGGGAATGTTCTATAATACACTCTGGTAAATTAACATAGCTATGGAAATCACCATCTTTAATAGGTAAATCAACTATACATGGGCTATGTTCAATAGCTATGTAACCAATTCCCAGAGGGTAATCACCATTAATTAATCACCATTAATCATCCATTAATCACCATTAATCATCCATTAATCACCATTAATCATCCATTAATCATCCATTCATCACCATTATACCGTTAAAATGAAAGTTAGAATGCCTCCGCGAATTCCAAATATTCCTCCCCCTCAGTTAGAATGCGGCACGCGCACGGCAAAAAATCATTCAGTGAGAATGCCTCCGCACCCGGGTTTTAAGTTTTTTGTTGTTTTCGGAAAACTCTTTGCACACATCCCTCACTTAGAATGCCTACACACTATGAATATCATCAGATGTTAGAATGCACTTAGAATGCTTCCCCCTTGAAATTGCTTTCTACCAGCATTTCAGCAATTAGAACGCTTCCCACTTGAAATTGCTTTGCCAGCATTTCAGCAGTTAGAATGTTTCCCCCTTGAAATGGCTTCTTACCAGCATTTCATCAGTTAGAACGCTTCCCCCTTGAAATTGCTTTTTACCAGCATTTCATCACTTAGAACGCTTCCCCGTTGAAATTGCTTTTGCCAGCATTTCAGCAGTTAGAATGCGTCCCCCTTGAATAGCTTTTTACCAGCATTTCATCAGTTAGAGTGCTTCCCCCTTGAAATTGTTTTTTACCAGTTTTTGAGCAGTTAGAATGCTTCCCCCTTGAAATTGTTTTTTACCAGCTTTTGAGCAGTTAGAATGCTTCCCCGTTGAAAATTGCTTTTTACCAGCATTTCAGCAGTTAGAACGCTTCCCCCATGAAATTGCTTTAAATCCCCATTAAAAGCCCTGGGATTTCGCCCTGCTACGCCCTGCTGCGCCCAGCAGCGCCTGCGGGTAGGTCCTGAGTCACCAGCAAGGCGCGAGGCCCCGAGCCCAGGCGAACTTCCGCGGTGCCACCACCCAGTGGGGGGCCTCGGGGACGGGGACAGCGGGGGTTGGGAAGTGGAAAAGGTGGGTGATCAATGGTGATTTAATGGTGATTTAATGGTTTAACATTGGGTTAACAATGGTGAATCATGGAATGATATGGGTTTACCCTCTGGTTATTTAACATAGCTATGGAAAATGGCCCATTTATAGATGATTTTCCCAGCTAGAAACCTCTATTTATAAGGGATTTTCCATGGCTATGTTAAATGACCAGATGGTACTTACATCTTGGGTGACATTAATTGGAAAAAAAAGTGGATTTATAAAGAATTTATAGGGATAATCAACTTATGACTTGGGGTGCACTAATCAACTGTTCTCCCACTGTTAAATGATACTGAAGTGAAAAGTTGATAACACTTGCAATTTGTAAGTTCTAAGTTCTACATACCCGGGTGGATAGAGGAGAAACATATAGGTCTAAGTCATTCTAAGTCTATATTAATAGTCTATATCTATTCTATGTCTATATAGAAATAGGGAGTCGAACTTCTGAGTGGTTTTATCCCATCCCACGTCTGTGGCTATTGGGGTATGGTGGCTAGTGTAAGTAATCCCAACTTATGACTTCTACTCCTTTCCTCCTATAGGTCCTATATATTATTAAACATGCCCCTTCTATGGTCCAAAATATGTGCAAATCCACTACTACACCATGGTTTTTGGGGGTGTTTACAATAGTGGGGTGGGATTAACATCCCAACTTTGTAGCGACTCTGATGCAAACTAGGGCCTGGGGATTCCAGCTGACCAGTAGCGTGGTCAAATCCAATACTGAACCGAGGTTTGTATGGGGGTATTTATTAGTGGGAAGGGACTATCTACCATGGCAAATGTGAAGTCACTTGTAGCGATCTTCTTGATATGGCTCGGATATGGAGGCAAAATCAAATGACAACGACTTTGAGCAGCGTGTGCTGCTACGGAAGCGGCTCAGCCCTGGCTCACTTCGCTCATGGACATGGCTCCCAGGGAGATATGAAAAAAATTGCTGGTGATGGCATGTCATCTCTCTCTATCGAAAAAACATCTCATCCGGGTAATACATCTCTCTGTATTTTTCTGCGACTAGATATCAAATCAAATGCCCTTGACCCATCTGGAATTCTCCAGGCCATGGCCGCCGGCCGCCGGGCCTTGGTTGTCCAAATAGCCAAAGTCGTAAAGCAGCGGCATGCCCGCCTGCTCGCAGGTGATGCGCAGGATCAAGTTGCCTTCTTCCAAATCAAAACTGTAAATATGTAAAAACCCATAACAAAACAGAACAATACTAGGATCAGGATCTAATCTATAGAATCTCAACAAAACCGGGATCAGAATCAAACAAATCTATCAGAAAATCATTCTTCAACAATCATAATTTTCATAATCCAATCAATCAAAAAATCGATGAAACATATCAGTTTTCCCGAATCTATCAAACAATCCATCAAAAAATCGATCAAACCTACAGATTTCCCATGTTTTTTCCCCAAAAAATGCCTCCCGTCGGGGCCCGTCGGCCGTCCGCCTCCTCGGCACTCCATCCATAGGCCTCCAGGGTGAACTCCGTGACACCTGGTTCATGGGCTCAAAACGTGGAAAAAAACATGGTAAAACCATGATGATCGTTGATGAATGTGAATGATAGTTATAACTTATAACTATACTTATTCATTGGTTGATCCGAATGTGCAAAAAAAAACATGGTAAAAAAAAATGATATTCATGGATTTAAGCAATGAAAAGTTGATTTGGGCAAACCATGAATTTGGGATATCAGTGGGATTTGGCCAATAAACATCGAGAGTAATATGGATTGATGGGATATTAAATGATACTAATGGGATAATCACTGGGATAATTGCATTGCATTTAACCAACCATTCATGGGATTTTGTATGATTGACCAGCCATGAATTTTAATTTTCATGGGAGATTCGCGGGATTCAATTGATTCAGTATCAAAACACATGTGTCTTGTTTTTGTTTAGGGATTGATATGGATTGATCATCAAACATTGGGATTATCCTTTTAAGATTATATAATATTATATAAGATTAATAGGGATGTATCCCCTGGCAATCTAACATAGCAACAACTGGCACTAAATTATATAATCATGGGTCAGTTCGCAAACTGTTAATTAAATTGCCAAAGGGTAGTCAGAAGGTGCCTTTTGTTTTACATAACTTGGTTGATAGTTGGTTGACATTTGTAAGTTTAATTTCGGGTGCGCTGAGAGAAGTAGAGCCAAACTTCCTGACTACTCACTTGTTAGTTGTTCTGCCTTTTCAGGCAAAAGGGCTTCCCTGGTTGCTCGACCACAGACGTTGTTCATTGTTTGGCAGTTTTTTCCCCTGGAAAACTTGCCAGAAAAATGCAGAAACGCATGTCTGAACAGGCCACATTAGCCAACCAAAAGGTAAATTTGTCCGACTTGGTTTCCATGAAAAAGGAAAATGTATGGAACATGTCCATGATGAATCAAGCCCCATGATGAATCAAGCCGGTCGATGTTTGCTTCCTTTTGGGACAACGCCAAAAAAAAAAGAAAAAGCATATGAATGGTTGAAAGATCCAGGTCCAATATAGTACTGTACCGAACATAAAAAGCATGAAACGTGGCTGCGGCTACCCTCCGTCCTCCCATGTTTGGGACCTTGGCACCCGGTTCCCGCCTGAAGTGCCCCGCATAGGGCTCACCCGCAGAGATCCCAGGTGCGGTTGGCTCTGAATCACCTGGCCGGGCCGCCAGGCCGCCAGGCCGCCAGGCTCTCCACTATCATTGATGCATATTGGACCATATTGGACCATATGGGTATGGGTCAACACCTATAGATACATTTTTAGTGGGATGAACATCCATTTACCAGCTATTTTGATGTTCACCAGGGGTACAAGGTTTTGACACACTGCCATATTGGCATATGCATAAGAAATGATGAACTCAGAAGACCCTGCCGAAAGTTGGACAGTTGGACCTTGATCTCAGTGGCCGCAATGCTAAACCTGCGCAGCAGAGAACGCTTAGGCCCACGTTTCCCAGCCCGGGCGGTTCTCCAAGGGTCACCCAGGGTCCTTGCAAGAATATTAAGGTAAGACATGCTGGGAGAACTTGGCTTATCAGCCAGCTTCAACCTCCGGTAGTACGACAGGCTGTCCGACAGAGATTCAAACTCTTGACTGGATATAGAGATGGGATGGGTCAAAAATGGTCAAAACCTATATTGATTTTTGGTGCTTTCAAAGCTTTAGCGGTAGCGCCTGCTGGGATTGTTGCTGTCCGAGACGTTCAGCACGAAGCGGTACTGCGCCCCTGGGAACAGGGCCTTTTCGGGCAGCCTCCGCGGGACCGGCGAGGATTCACGAGGACTCAAAACAGTTTCAGTGGAATAACATGGAAGAACTATGAGTCGGAGACTGTTGCCAGTGTTGTTCCTTCACTCTTTTCTTCATGATTATTCATGAGTATTCATGATTTTGCTTTGCGTTTCCCCCTATGACATGACAAGAGTTTTCCCTGCCATTCAGGTAATCAAGGTTGAGCCAAAGGTAGCAAACCTCCCTGTCATTCCAAGCATAATCAAGCATACTGGTTTGCGAACAGAACGGGGGTCCTAGAATGGATCATCATAATCCCAAATGTATCATCCTTGTCCCCTACAATCATCAACCAGTGATCATTGAATATAAATGAATATAATATATATATATCATATTACATCCCCATATGATGCTTAAATGCCCGTTAAATCACTCAGCAACCAGGGCTTTGAACGTGGCTCGCTTGCGCACCAGTGTGATGCCTTGGTGAAAGCTTGCGGCCAGGGCACGTCAAGGAACTGCTGCTTACACTGTCCAATTGGGCCTGGTGAAAGCCGATTTCCACCATTACCCTGGGCTAAACTGACATAGATGTGGAAAACCTATATATTGTTTTTTTCCCCCAGGAATTTAACCACTATGAAAATGGCCATTTAAAATATTTAAATGGTAAAATCATGGATATATAGATATATAGTTACTATATTGAATACTGTTTGATGTGGGTAAAACAATGGCATAAACCACCCATGACTGGGAATGGTTCATACCACCTATTTATGGTGATTTGGGGGTAAAACAATGCCATAAACCACCCATGACTGGGAATGGTAACCATACCACCTATAAAAATGGTGATAACTGGGGGATGGTTTATGGCATTGTTTTACCCACATTATATTGTTTTTTCAGGAACATGATCGACAAATAGTGTATGTTCCACATCTATGTTAGTTGACAGGAGGGTAACCATCAAACATCGGAAGTAATATTGTGGAATCTAACCAGGAAAATATGCATAGAAAAGATCAAAAAAAGTGATTTATATAATAATTAGTGGTTTTTGACATGTTTTGACTATCAAACATAGGAACCAAAACCATTGTAGAAAGGATCCTTCCTACACTTTGCTACCAAGCTGATTGTTTAACTCCGCTCTTTGGCTACTCAGTTGGTACCGATGTGCGGTCATATTCACCATCTCTGCCCTCTTTGCTCCCAGAATTATCCGTGGCAAGTCATTCAATTTGGATTTGGTGATTAAATGATATTAAATGATATTAAATGATGTTAAATGATATTAAATGATATTAAATGATATTAAATGATATTAAATGATATCAAATGATATCAAATAATATTAAAATATCTTAAATGGCTATTGGGCGAACCAGCATCACACGGACACGGTCACTGTGGGCGCAGCGTCCCGCCTGGGTGCTTGGGACGGGCGAGTAGATCTCCTCAGGTACCTTCAACTTGCCACATCAACGGACTTTTTTCACCCCTCGCCCCAATAAAATTATATTATATGACTCCATACAGAGAGAGAGAGAGATATATATATATATACCCTCTGGTAAACTAACATAGCTATGGAAAATCACTATTTTTAATGGGTAAATCCACTATAAATGGCCATTTTCAATAGCTATGTTAGTTTACCAGAGGGTATATATTATGTTAATATGATGATATGTGTGTCCAGGATTCAGGATTCAGGTGCCGAAGAAGAAACACCCTGCGAGCTGCTGTGCACCTGATAGGCGGAGCCTTCCAATGCGGCACGTGCAGCGTCCCACCTCAGACCGTGCCGCAGCTTCTCGGCCCCAAAAGTTGTGCCTGTTACCTGGGCCCATCTGGGCCCCCAACTGATCTCAGAAAAGGTTCTGGAAAATGATTCATGTGGTGAACCCAATCATAAACCATCCCCATCACCATAAATATCATAAATGGGTGGGATTATGTGGGCTTCCAAGCATCCCCAAATGCTAGGTTTCTATTTTCTATATTGGCTTGCCCACATTATACAGAGATGTTGACATCTCCGATCAATCTAGGCAAATTTTGCACTAGTTCACCAAGCTGAAATAAGGTACCCTCCGGTAACGTTTACATAACTATGGAAAGATCCACCATTTTGAATAGGTAAATCAACTATAAATGGGGTATTGTCAATAGCTATGTTAAATTACCAGAGGGTAGCTTGGAAAGAAGCCCTCCTACTAACTATCATGTACCGTGAGGTCGGCCAGTGAGTCACTACTTGGGCGAGTGATTGAAACACATTGAAACCATCAACCAGATCATCATTGGTTATATCACGATTTATATGCCCACTTCAGATGGTGTAAATCATGTTAGATCCCATTGAAGCCCAATGTTTCAGGATGATTCACGGTTAATGTCTTCATGTTTGTCTTAAATCCACATGATATACATATATATATCATTATGTTATATCCATATGTTAGATCGTTGAATTAACTTATATTAACTTCATTCAGATTCATTCATGTTAAATCGTCCTTATGTTAAATCCACCTCGAATCGGTTGCAACGTTGCAACACATGGGACAGGTAGGTTCTTCACGCTCAGCTGGAGCCGCCCGGCGCCGGATTGGAGTTCAAGCGCTCGATCGCCTGGTGCTCCCAATTTTACCATAAATGGATGGTAGTATAAAGTTGGTTTACTATTCCCAATTTTACCTTACATAAACTAAAGTTGGTTTACTATTGTTTTACCAACATTATAGTAATTCACATCTGTTTATGGCCTGAAACTTAGAATGTCTTAGAATGGGAGGACGGGTTTCCAAAATCATCCAAAATCTATAGTCTTAACTTCGAATGACTGGCAACATTTCCTGAAAATAGCTGGTATCATAAGGCCATTTGGGGATAATTCCCCGGATCCTAACATTCCAGTGACGTCACAGGGAGATCATCAAACGATATGATGGGATATGCTGGTGAGATTGCCAGGTGCTCCATGGATCATGATGGATCGTTGACCGATCCAAAGCTACGGCTATGGCATTATGGTGGGCTAAACAGCATCCTCTGGTGGCTTCATCCCAAAAAATCCCTAGATTTCTCACGCTCAAATGGACAACTTCCCAGGATAGACTGGGATACCCTCTGGTGAACTAACATAGCTATGGAAAATCACCATTTTTAATGGGAAAACTCACTATAAATGGCCATTTTCAATAGCTATGTTAGTTTACCAGAGGGTAGTCAAGCCATATCCCGATATATGCATTGACACTGCAGTGGCATCTGGATTACAAACTGGCAGCAACTCTCAACATCTCTCAACGGTGGTTTCCAAGAGAACAAATGTGTTCTTTGCGCGTCCTCCATTTTTTTGGCAGGCAACCACCTTCATGGCAAAGGTTCACCATTCGCCCAAGACCCAGGCCCAATCATACCGCAGATTACTGTCGCCATCTGAAGTGCCTGGCACTTCGAGGGCCAGCTTGGGATAGATGTGATGTAGATGGAGACTAATGATTGGCGACACATGGCTGCACATTGCAACCCCAACATTCACACGGAAATGTTGATTTTGAGGATGGGCATGGTAGGCAGTAAAAGGATCATAGGGGCAGCCGCCCACAACGAGCACTCAGATCTGTCCTTGACTTCCCTAGGGTTCATCTTCCCTGGAGTTTCGTCGTTGTTTGCCAGCAAGCAAATGATTGAAGCCAGAAAAACGATGGAAAAAAGTTGAATGCCTGCAAACACATCTTACATATCTCATATCTCATTCTGCTCCTTTGCAACGCTTTTTTCCTTTTTTCTCCCAAGCAGGGCGAAAGGCTTTCGCCGAAAAAGAAAGCCATAAAATGGACAGGAACTGATCTGTCCCACTTGAGGGCCTGTGGCATCCTGTCCTGTAGCCTGGTGCCCGGCCGAAAATGTAGGGCGGATTGGAGGAGCAAAGCACTTCATCTTTGGATCTTTGGTGAAGCCAAGGCCACACCCAATGCAGAAATGCTTCAGAATCCCCTCCCCCGTGAATATTAAACACCCCCCATATGCATCGTGGATGTAGGGGATGAAGTTGTTTGGGACCATAGAATGGGTGTGGTTAATATATATATATATATCATAAGGTGGATGGGATTATGAACCCCGATTCAAGATACCCTCTGGTGAACTAACATAGTGATTTTCCATTGCTATGTTAGTTCACCAGAGGGTAATTTTTGTATAATTCTGTTAGGTTTACCTTGAACCCGATTAGGTGGATCATCCGTTCACCGATGGAAAGGCTTTTCCAACATCATCCTCTAGAAAAGTGGCGCCAAAACAGGAACACGGAAGCCAGAAGTGCCGCTCCGCCCGCCCGTTTTGGGAAGATATGGAACTTGTCAAAGTCCACTCAGGCGCTTCTAAGGGAACCATCAGCCTCAGAGTTCACTCCAACGAAGGGTTTAGCAAGATGCCAAAAATCATCAAAGGCTCATCAGATGCCCTCAAACATATCAACACATGGGAATTACGGGAATTACTAAATGAAATATCTTTTATTTCCATGGGAATATCTCATTTAGTAATTCCCATGTGTTGATATTATGTTGATATTTTTTATCCCATGGGAATTACTAAATGATGTTGAATAATTTTGAAACATATGGGAAACATGTGGGAAACATTTGGGATTTATAGAGGAGGTTGAGATTGAAATAAATGGCACTGGGGAAACGCACGTTCTTCGCAGGTTTTTCGCAGGCGGAGCTCAGCTGCTCAGCCGCCCATGGCTCGAAGTTTGTGAAGCTTCGCCTCCACCAACTCCATCACCTTGGGCCGTTGATCGAGGCCCTCTTCGTGCCCCAACATAGGCCGTACCAAGTGAAGGAATGGAAAACAACTACACTTTCCACATCTTTCCACTTAAAAGGGCTGGAGAACACCAGGTCTATGTTCGCTGAGCCGGTGGCAACTGACTTATATAGTATGATTTTGTGACTTGTACTGATGATAGTTGGGGAAATAAATGATCAAATGACCAGACTATTTAGAGACCCTGGCTCATATGAATTGGTTTGGGTAACCTCAACAACTTGCACATGTTCGGACCTTCAAGCCCCTGGTAGGTTGGCTTGGGGCTTAACGGCTTACCGTTTCTGTTCGGAATCTCTTTCGTTCTACGGTCAACACTCGATTGTTGCTTGCATGAGAAATCTGTTGTTGACAGTGGGGCGTATGGTGCATAGAACGAATAATTTGTCTCATTTGTCTGGTGTCAGTGCTGGAACTCCCTGCTGTTCAGATCAAATGACATCATCGACCATGCCGTTGATTCGTAGTGCCGCCATGTTGTCACAAGGTGTCGCTTGAAGATTCACCTTGCCATGCATGCACATGAATGACACGCGGCTATTGGGATCTCTTTTTCTCTCTCTCTCTCTCTATCTATCTATCTATCTATCTATCTATCTATCTATCTATCTATCTATCTATCTCTATCCACTGTTTCAGGTGGAAATGTAGAAATTCTGAAAACAACTAGCCGGTGCACTTACAGAATGAGCAGAATGATCCAGCGTGAGTTCGGGTGCTAATTTGCTGCATTATGTTGCATTAGGTAGATGCCCAAGAGGTTTTGTCTCTCACGAAGGCAAAGCATTAGCATCTGCACCTGTGATTTGCTACAATAGTCAAACCCTTCAGCAGGGCACAAATGATATAAACAGTTAATTACCAATAGTGTTATAAATACATATAGTCTATCATGTTAATAATTGTAACATATATATATATATTATATAACATTAATATACATTAATAAACCATATATATCAACAGCTCAACATGACATCATCTTCGATACATCTTTGCGGAGGATCCCAAATTTGGCACCATCTTGTCCCATAGCTCTTGAGGGACTGGCGCTTGCATGTTCTCTGTGGCCCATCGAAAAGTCACCGTCAAGTCGATTGAAAATTGACGTTTCTCCAAGCCCCGATGAGTTCGTCAATGGGAAGGATGACATCCCATATATGAAATGGACAAAGTCATGTTTGAAACCACCAACCAGTATATAATAATACCCACTGTTACCCACTCATCCGTATTATGATTATATATATAATGCTATTTAATACATTTTAATACACTATATACTTACTATACTTACACTACATACCTATAGTATCTTTTAGTTCTATAAATATCATTAGATTATGTGAGGTGTTGTTCTCCACTTCCCTTCCCCAACCTGCAGGGATCCAGGTCTGCCAGGGAGCGATGACCAAACCGGATCTCCTGTCCGGAAAACGCGCGTGCCTGCGCCAAGTTTTTGGGGTTTCATGAAACCTCTGAAACGAAGACAACTAGGGGAAAGTGAAGATGTGAGAAAATACGCAAAGTATAACCCATAGGATCCATGGTGCTGCTATATGGTAACATGGATCCCATCAATATACCCCCAATGTAAGCATATATACCATACATGGATCATATGGGTAATAGTAATGATGTTTGCTAAATAGTAATAGTACACTATAATAGTAATAATACACTAGTAATAATACACTATAATAGTACACTAATAGTAATAGTACACTAATAGTAATGATGTTTGCTAAATAGAGTAATAGTACACTATAGCCATATGACCATTACATGGTTTTTTATAGTATCATAGTATTACCAAATGTCCCAATACTGCCAACACCTTCGAACATTCTAAGCTGCCGAATTTTTGTATATATACTGATATACTGAAGGAAAATGTGGAATACACCCGCACACACACACACAAAAAAAAAAAATGCCAACAACCAGCAGCGAAAACCACCAACAATTCATAATCACAGACCCACCGAAAGACCATGAACATGAATCAAAATCAAGAGAGCATAGCACTTTTGAATACTTTTCATGGGTAAATCAATCCATAGAAATCCATAGAAATCCATAGAAATCCACCATTGTTCCATGGTTTTTCTATGGTTTTTCCAATGGGTAGCCAGCTGCCTGCGGGCAATCCATGTGGGCATCTCGGAGGCGGGCGTCACGGTGATGGAGCTGCCCAGGGCTAAGCACAGGTCAGCCGCTTCCTGAGACGATCCGTCCGGTGTGGATTCTGGTGGTTAGCAGCGATCAGATCTTTGAATCAGGGATTTACCATCTGGTTATTTAACATAGCCATGGAAAATCCTGTACATAAATGGAGGTTTCTAGCTGGGAAAATCAACCATTTAGAACATCATGATAGATGGAATGAATTTTACCATGATAGATGGATTTACTATTTATTTGAATAGAATGTAATGGAATAGCATAGAATAGAACAATGTGATGTAATTACAGTAATGAAATTAATAGTGGTATTTAATTGATGGGATTTAGTGGGACTCACTGTGGTTCATAGTATTTAAATGTATTTAATGGGATTTCATAGGGATTCATATGGATATGATGTAATGAACACATTTACAGTAGCCTCTGGGAATGAAATACATTCAAATGCCAATACGTAATGGGATATCAATGAGATATTCATGTGATTTAACCAAGCATTCATGAATGTGTAGGACTTTGTGGGTTACCTTCTGGTAATTTAGCCGTCTGCGATGGAAACTCACAATTTTTAACAGGTAAACCATCGAAGTAAATGGAACATTGTT